ACCTAGTTTAAAGCCCTCTCAATGAGCCCTGCCAATTCATGAGCAATGATCCTTTTCCCCCTGTGAGATAGCTGGACTCCATCTGTCGCCAAATGAGGATTCTGGGTCAGAGTAAGAGGAAAGCATCGTGTATGTTTGCACAGTTCTTACTCTTCCCTAGGTGTCCGCTTCTGAAGTCACACTGTTCCTCTCTTTTCTTGGTCCGTTTTACTTGCTCCTTGCTTGGTGGGTCTCCGTCTTCTTGGACAGGAGCACAGCTGGGTATTGGGAAGAACACCGTCTCCAGCAACACTGACTTTCTGCAGCAGCCTGTCCAGGTGCACATCACCGTGGATGGCAAGCTGCAGGTGGTAGTAGTGTGGGGGGGTGTCCCAGCCTTTTTACTGTCCTAACCGGCGTTCCCAGCCAGATGGAGACGCTCTGCCATCAGGTACCCCAGCAGTCGTGTACCGGAGACACCAGTCCCGCTCACTTAGGGCACTTCTGCAGAGTAGACGGTGCATGCGACCAAAAAGAAACTGCAGCCTGGCCCACAAACAGGGTTAGCTCTTGCTGTCCCACTCCCCACACCTTGTGTTTTGGTTGATGCTCTCCCAGACACTGACCCCAGAAGAACACAAAGCTTAGTGTGGACCAGTATGCCATTCCTATGTTCTCTAATCCTCTTTATCGTATTTTAATCACTTAGCATTCATTTACATGCTAACAAGAAACAGAACACAGTCAGCGCTTATTTAGTATCTTACTACCAAAAATGTTTAATGGGGGTGCTTGTGGATGTTACTGTGCTTGTGCACATACTAATATTCCAACAGTAGGTATCACTGATGCATGGTCTCTGAAATCCCTGCTTTTGCTATCTGGACACCTTGTGTAAGCAGACAACGTCAAGCTTTTCCTAGAGCTGGATGAGCAGAACCAATTCAGTTCCAAGCCCAGCTCTTGATATTGTCAGTGGTTGAGTCACCAAAAGTATCCACACTCAAACAATATAAAAAAGTTAAACTACCTGTAACCTTTTAGACAAAAAAGCTAGCAGTTGCGCAATTAATTCCTCAAACTTACATAATTCCAATGTCAACAATGGTGAAACAAAGATAAATAGGATCAGTACCTCCTTGTACAAGTACCTTTTAACAAATAAATCCCGTTACTAAAAAAAATTACTTCCCTAGCCAATTCCATGTTACACACACTCACAAACTCCAATGAAGTTAACAGGGTAAACAACTTTAAGCTGAATGTTATTAGCTGATTAACAGAGTAAAAAGTAACATTAGGAAAAAAAGCAAAGTGAATTTTTTCATACATATTAAAGTAACTAAACTAACTTCATCACTACCTTCAGACTACCATAGCAGCCTGCAGAATGCACTACCTGAATTTTAATGTAAAAAACATGCTTCTCCCACTCCTTATATGGAATTCACCCTCTTGAGTGGCTTTATGTCCCAGTTTCCGTATCTAAAGCAGTTTCTGCAGTCGGTCCCTGCCCTAGGGAACCTGCTGTAATATGGTGCAACAGTAGCTCACTTGTGTCAGCTCTCCCACACCAGTGGGCCACAGGAGAAGCCAAAAGGAGATCTAGCCACCCTGCCG